ATGAGAGGATTAGAAGCATGAAGGGGCTGAATCTAATCACACAATTTGAGAGATTGCAGATGAAGGAGTCTGAAACAATTAAGGAGTATTCTGATAAGTTGGTAAATATTGCAAATCAAGCAAGAGCTCTAGGCACTGACCTCTCTGATAATAGGCTAGTGCAAAAGGTTCTTGTCTCCTTGCCCGAAAGGTTTGAAGCAACCATTGCATCTTTGGAGAATACCAAGGATTTGTCTCAAATCAAGTTGGTAGAATTGCTAAGTGCTCTGCAAGCACAAGAGCAGAGAAGGTTAATGAGGCTTGAAGGAAGTACAGAAGGAGCTTTGCAGGCTAAAGAACAGCATAATGTAAGATGGAAGAAAGGAGATGACAGTAGTGGTTCAGAAGCTGCTGCAGGAGAGAACAATGCAATCAACTCTAAGAACAATTGGGGCGGGCATTCCTCATGTAAGCATTGTGGAAAGCAGAATCACCCACACTTCAGATGTTGGAAGAGGCCAGATGTGAAGTGCAGAAAGTGTCATAGGCTTGGACATATTGAAAGGTTCTGCAAAGAAAAAGGAGATCAGCAGCAAGGTGAGGCACATGTTGCAGACCAGCATGAGGCAGATCAATTATTTGCTGCCTCTTGTTTCTCCTCTAGTGCTCCATGTGATAGTTGGCTTGTTGATAGTGGTTGCACAAACCACATGACAAGTGATGAAAAACTATTTAGAGACCTTGACAAGTCATTGCAGTCAAGAGTGAGAATTGGAAATGGGGAGTATCTAGAAGTGAAAGGTAAAGGGACTGTAGCAATAGAGAGCTATGCTGGAACTAAGCTGGTTTCTGGTGTGATGTACGTGCCTGATATTGATCAGAACTTGCTGAGTGTGGGGCAGTTGGTAGAAAAGGAATTTAAAGTGATATTTGAAGAAGGGAAGTGTTTGATCTTTGACTCAAATGGTCAGGAGCTGTTCAGAATAAAGATGCAACAGAAGAGTTTTTCTCTAAATCCCCTTGAGAAGGAGCAAGCGGCATTCAAGTGTCAGGCTAGTGCTTCAGAAATATGGCACAAAAGGTTGGGGCATTTTCATTACAAAGGCTTACTATTCATGCAGAAGAATGAAATGGCAACTGGGTTACCAATCCTGGAGGAGCAGATCACAAGGTGCAAAGCTTGTTTTTTGGGCAAACAGACAAGACTTCCTTTCAAAGAATCCACCTGGAGAGCTACAAAGAAGCTACAACTAATTCATACAGATCTTTGTGGTCCTCACGTGACTCCTTCACTAAATGGCAGCAGGTATTTTCTTATCTTCATTGATGATTATACTAGAATGTGCTGGATTTATTTTATGAAGCAAAAGTCAGAAGTTGCTGAGATATTTCTGAAGTTTAAGAGATGGGTTGAGACTCAAAGTGGCTGCAAAATTCAAGTCATCAGATCTGATAATGGAACAGAATACACTTCACAAAGGTTTAACACTTTCTGTGAGGAAGCTGGAATTGAGCATCAACTCACTGTTCCTTATTCTCCACAGCAAAATGGAGTTAGTGAAAGAAAGAATAGAACCATTATGGAAATGACTAGGTGTCTACTGCATGAGAAGAATCTACCAAAAGAATTTTGGGCAGAAGCAGCAAACTCAGCTGTTTTTTTGTTAAATAGACTGTCTACAAGGGTACTGGAAAAGAAGACACCTTTCGAAGCTTGGTTTGGTTTCAAGCCATTTCTAAAAAATTTGAAAGTGTTTGGTTGTCTGTGTTTTTCTCACATTCCACAGGTCAAGAGAGACAAGCTGGGAGAAAAAGCTGAACCTGGAATTTTCATTGGCTATAGTCTGGTGTCAAAAGCCTACAAGATCTATCAACCACAGACAAAGAAGGTGATCAATAGCAGGGATGTTCAGTTCCTAGAAGATGAGCAGTGGGACTGGACAGATGAGCCACAAGCAAAGCATAAGGAGGTCTCACTGGATTATGATGAGCTAGTAGATGATGATCCAATTAGAGGTACCAGATCTCTGACTGATATATATCAGAGGTGTAGTGTGGCTGTTTTGGAACCTTCAAGTTATGAGGAAGCTAAAAGTGATCAGAGGTGGATGAATGCTATGAAGGAAGAGTTGGCTATGATAGAAAAAAATCAGACATGGGAGCTAATAGAAAGACCTGAGGACAGGAAAGTGATTGGAGTAAAATGGGTTTTCAGGACCAAACTCAATCCTGATGGCTCAGTGAATAAGCATAAAGCCAGGTTAGTGGTGAAGGGATATGCACAGGTTTGGGGAGTTGATTTCTCAGAAACCTTTGCTCCGGTTGCAAGACTAGATACAATTAGAATGATTCTTGCCTTGGCAGCTCAACAATGATGGAAAGTGTATCAGTTAGATGTGAAATCTGCTTTTTTGAATGGAGAGTTGCAAGAGGAGATTTATGTTGAGCAGCCAGAAGGCTTTGTCACACCAGATCAGGAGGAGAAGGTTTATTTGCTGAGAAAAGCTCTCTATGGTTTGAAGCAAGCTTCTAAAGCATGGTACAGCAAGATGGATGAGCACTTGCTGGGTTTGGGTTTCATAAAAAGTCTTAGTGAATCCACTTTATATGTCAAGAAGTTAGCATCTGACTTAGTGGTGGTGTCTCTTTACGTGGATGATATGCTGGTAACAGGGAGTAATAATTCTCAGATTACTGCATTCAAAAGGGAAATGATGAAAACGTTTGAAATGACTGATCTTGGTGAGATGTCATATTTTTTGGGGCTGGAGGTTAGACAAACTGAAAATGAAATTTTTATCTATCAAAAGAAGTACTTGAAGGAGATTCTGAAAAGATTCAACATGGAGGAGTGCAAGAGTGTAAGTACTCCAATGGGTCAAAAGGAAAAGTTTCAAAAGAAAGATGAATCGGAATCTGCAGATGAAAGAGTTTATAGGAGTTTAATTGGCTGCCTTATGTATCTCACTGCAACTAGGCCAGACATTATGTTTACCGTAAGTGTCTTGTCTAGGTTTCTTAATTGTCCAAGTGAACTGCATATGGTAGCTGCAAAAAGGGTGTTAAGGTACTTGAAAGGTACTCTTTTATATGGAATCAAATTCTGCAGAATTCAGAAGTTTAAGTTGCAAGGGTATTCTGACAGCGACTGGGCTGGATCAGTGGATGATATGAAAAGTACTTCGGGTTATTGTTTTACATTTGGGTCAGCTTGTTTTTCTTGGTGTTCAAAGAAACAGGAAATAGTGGCCCAATCAACTGCAGAAGCTGAGTTCATTGCAGCTACTGCAGCTGTAAACCAAGCATTATGGTTGAAGAAGCTGATGGATGACCTGCATTTGGAGCAAAAAGAAGGCATAGAAGTATTTGTGGATAATCAAGCTGCTATAGCTATTTCACAGAATCCAGTATTTCATGGAAGAACAAAGCATTTTAAGATCAAGTATTATTTTTTGAGAGAAGTGCAGATGGCTGGAGAAGTGAAGCTAATGTACTGCAGTTCAGAAAACCAAATAGCAGATATATTCACCAAGTCATTTCATGTTAGTCGATTTGAATTTCTCAGGGAGAAGCTAGGAGTGTGCAGCACTTGATCCAGGAGGAGAATGTTGGTGTTTCAAGGCTGCTGTTGATGTCCTATTTTTTAGGAGTTAATTAGTTGTTTTTTAAATTGATTAGTCTTTTGTTTAGGAGTTTGTTTACTGCATTTTACTGTTATTGCTTTGTTAGTTTGTTGCTGATTTTGTGGACCAACAAAATCAGCTGGTTAGTAGCAACCGCATGAGCTCAGTTTTGTATTTAAAAACAAGTTCATTAGTCAGAATAAAATAAGCTGTTGCACAATATTGTTTCTGATGTTTGTTTTTCTCATAAAAGATCAACAAGGTTCATGTCCTTTCTCTTTGATTTTATATTGAACTTGTAGATATCCAGAATAAAATTTAATTAAAAATAAATAAATCTATTGCTTTCAATTGATTGGAACAGTACTATTCACCAATTTTTTTACCTAAATGCCACGTGAACAGTGTTATTTCCCAATCGGCCACGGGAGCAAGTTCGCTATCCGGTGTAGCAAACTCGGTTTGCTGACGTGTCATGTTTCTAGTGGACACCAAGTTCGCTACACGGGGTAGCGAACTTGGTTTTAACAAAGTTCGCTACCCAATGTAGCGAACTCCATCCTTTTTTTTTACTTGGTACTTGTTATACACTAGAAATGTGACACGTCAGCAAACCGAGTTCACTAGTAACGAATTTGCCCCCGTGACAGATTGGAAAATAACATTGTTCGCGTGACATTTAGATAAAAAAAGTTGATAAACAGTAAAATTTCGGTCACTGTTCCCAATTGATTTTAATTTTTAATGCTCATGCTCACTGGGAACTAGGAAGGCTGGGTTAGGTCCTTCCCAAGTTCCAATATTTCAAGTGTTTTCTAGCAAACTGAAATCAATCATTTTTGGTCCATCGGTACAGATTCGTTGCTATTTCTATAGTCTAAGCCCAAAGAGTGATAGATAGTTAGATACCGTTCACTCACCTAAGAGTTAACAAGCATACCACATACGAAAATTCTAGCTTTTTAACCTTTTAAAAAAAATAAAATGAAATGACTCAGATAGAATAAGAAATAGGTATAAGGTATTAAGTAGGATTGTGAGTCTGTGACATATAACGGGAGTATGAGTAAAAAGAGAGTTTGATTTTATGTTTGATTAAGGATAGATAAAGTTGTTGTTTTTTTGTATATATAAAGGTTAGAGAAGGAATATTATTCAATGTGGCGTTTAAAATTTTTTAAGTAATATCAGAGTGACCAGCAACTAGTTTAATAACAGAACCAGCAAATCTTATTCTTTTTTCGAATGGTCGTGTCCAGCAATCATAACATTACACATATTACCAACTTCACATTTCAGCAAACCGCATGGAAAAAAGATATAGTTAAAACCACGAATGCATGACATTACAAAAATAAAAAATAAAAAAATTACCAGTTCCTGGGCGAAGCAGGACGCTTATAAATCGATTGATATCACCAGTGGCGAGTCACCCGTGTCAACAACGAATGTCTTAGAAATTTTCTTTGCTAAGGTCACAACTTCCACATTGTATGTTCCACTGAAGCCTCTGAAGCTGAAATACCCTGGCTCATCAACATGACCATGGCTGTGGGATAACCACTCTTTTTTAAGAGCAAGGTATCTTTTACCAGCTTCGTTAAGGTCACCTTCTGCATTCACCAAGTGTGAATTGTCCCGGCTCATAAACAATTCCCAAAATCCCCACAACATTATACCATCTATAGCAGGGTGTGCCAAAGCTTCCCTCAACATAACTTCCAAATCATCAGCTCTGACATATTCATTAGTGGAAGACACATCAAGCTCAGTAAACCAGATTGGTAGACCAAGAGTACCCAATTTATCAAGTGCTGAACAAACAATAGGCCCCACAGGACTGTCTATGTGACCTTGAATTCCAATTCCCCCAACTGGGGCACCTTGCTTTTGCAAATCAAGAACATGTTGAATGTATTTTTCCGGAGATGATCTAGTATCACATCCATCTTCAACATGATAATCATTCACAAAGAGGGTAGCAGATGGATCTAGTTGGTGTGCAGTCTTGAACATGTTTGCCCTTATATCCTTACCTAACCTATCTTGATAAAATGAGCCATGCAACATTTCATTATTAACATCATAGTGCCTGAACTTGCCTTTGTAGCGAGTTAACAAGCTAGTTAAGCGATTTTGGACAGCTGTCATCAAATCATTTTTATTCAGGGATTTGATCCATTGCTGAACAGTGCCATCCACTTCCCAGAAGATACAATGACCACGGGTGTTTATATTGTATTTCTGACACAAGTCTAACATAGCATCAGCATCCTTGTAGTTCAAATTCCCTTGCTGTGGCTCAGTCCAATACCACTTCAACTCATTCCCAAACACAGCCCAGTTAAAATGTTTCACAAAGAAGTCAACAAAATCTTCATTGTCAATATTTGTTCGATTGATGCATGATCCAATTGGAAAATCGTTTTGTATTTGTCTAACTTTCACCAACGTTCCAAGTAACCCGCATGAGTCCATCCCAGAGAATTTTAGGATAACATCACGCTTACGAATCTGCAGAGCAGCAAGTGAGAAATGTTTGGAATGAGAAACATGGAAAAATAACAAGCAACGTAAATTATCACATATCCTATCAATGAAGAATGGATATAATAAAAAAGATTAGGCATTACAATCTGAATACACTAAGCTTCCTGTAACATTTTTTCCTGTCATGCAAGGTTTTATTTAGTCATAAAAAGGAATGAACTGTGTATAGGACATAGCAGAGAGATAGGAATAGCTAAACCTAGATGTTACCTTGTCTGTTTGCCTCCTTAAATATCTAAACCTTGCGTGTCTATCAACAGGGAAAATTTGAAGCCCAGCCACCATTAAGTCAACACCAGAAGCTGGACCTTGAACATAAACCATAACCTTAGATGGCTGCTTTTCAATTCTAAAGGACCCACCAATTTCATGCCATCTGTCATCAGCAACCTCAACTTGTCCTCCGTTGACCCATTGGTTATCAACACTAAGGGCAATATTCACATTCTGAGACCCAGTTGATCCTGAACCAATCCGTACCCATGCAGATACTTGATAAGTTAAAAAGAGGTTCAATTTCTCAGTGATCATCTGAGCAGGACCCATCCATGTCTGTGTGCGATTGGTTACAAGGATGTAGCGGCCACTTAGGGATTCATGAGGCCCAAGAGAGTCTCTTGCCATTGGTGTAATTATACGCGGTGAACCAGTTCCAACGCTCAAAGTACAATTACCAAGGGGAAACCATCCATTTGTACCATTAGCCAGATTACTGTTCTCAATTATATTAATACCGAAAGGAGCATTCTGCAAAAACAAAATCAATCTTTAGTTGCTTGAAACATGCCGAATTGGCCACAAAACAAGAGCGTATCAGGTCATTGGTTAAGTTTTTAAATTTAACAATGAATGTGCAAAATGAAGTTCCACGTATTGCTAATATACATTGAAGTAAATTACAGAAAAAAAAATTGAAAGCCCAACCTCAAAATCCGGGGGTGTTGAAGGTGGTGCTTTAGCTGCATGCTTTACAACCAAAGTGTTGACAAGAATGTCAGTGCCTGGAGGAGGACCTTCTAAATAAACAACTACTTTTGATGGGGAACCATTTAGAAGGAACTTTCCCTGCATTTGAACCCAATCTTTATCTGTTGCCTGCACACTTTAGTACACATAAGCTTCGTTCAGCACTTAAAAAGAAATGTTAAGGTAGCTTTCTAATATCAATTATTCATGACTATGCAACAACTCAATCATACAGTACCACACTTAATTTCTTTCTTTTATATATATTTACCAAAAATAATAACCACCAAAGCCACCTCAGAGTCTATTTGAAATACAGTAAAAAAGAAGTAAGATAGACACTAACTTTGCAATGCCTATGTACTGCTCTCGAAGATCTGGTGTTTGAACCCACAAAGTAGCCCTTACATCGGAAGTAGTGACTTTGTTCCCATATATACGAACCAAAGCGGTGACCTCATATGCGAGCTTGCGCTGAACTCGTCCAGTAATCTCCTGCTGAATTCCATTCCAGCTTTGCGTGCGTTCTGTTGCAGATGCAAAGAATTTCCCAGACTTTGGAAGGATTTTCCCACCTCCCATGGAATCATGTAACACAATCTTGCAGCCTCTTCCAGACCAATTATTCAGGCCATCCTCAAACTGGGGGTTTATTATGATGTTCTCATCTTCAGTGGAAACACATTCTGTGTTTGTTGTCTTTTGAAATAAGAAGAGAATGCTTCACAAGTTAATGAGTAAAAAAATATAAAGATTTCAGGAAACAACAAAAGAAATGCACAACTAAAAATGCATAATTACATGATATTCGTAATCATTTGAACTGGAGCAGTTAATGTCTACTGATTGTATAAGCAGGTCAACCTCAGGAGCAGGTCCTTCCAAATAAAATATAACCCGATCAGGCATAGCTGACAATGAAAATGACCCTTCCAACTTTTCCCAGCTACCGTTTCTACAAGAAGTTCTGTACAAAATTATGGTAAACGGAGTAAGCGTTTCCTTTCAATCTCTTTAGAACAAGAGAAACTACACAAAGAAATTATAACATTGTATACCTTCCAATGCACAAGTAGCTAGTAGTTGAATCATGATATTCTAGTTTCAGAGTAGCTAGAACATCGGTACACCCCTGAGAAAGCGCAGATACTCCAACACATGCTGAAACCATGTAAGTGGAACCAATGGAAATTTTGTCCGTGATATCTTGCTCAAGACCTTGCCAGCATTCCTTACGGTTAGTGATAACAGCATAATTACCATTTATCATTCTTTTTTGAGGACCGGATTCAGCTGAAACCACATAGCCGTTGCAGCAATTGAGATGCCAAGAGTTCAGCCCTTCAGAGAAGTCATGATTTAGCAAAATATTAGAAACCTTGATCCTGCTAGGACCAGAGATGTTTCCCTTCATGGTCTGTAAAAGAAAGCAATATCAGAAAACGGTTGAAAACTTTAGGACAGTCTAGTTATATATGCATAAAATAATAATTAGTTATATATAATATTTACAAGGACACTAGTTAGTAATTAAGCTCTAGATGAACTATTTTTATAATCCTATAGGTAAGGCAACGCAAGCACATGAAAACTTGCTGAATAGTGGGTAGTAAAAGTGCATGCCTCTGAGTGGTTTCCAGCATTGATCTTCTGTAAGTTATCCATAGTTTCTCCGAACCTCTAAACCAATTCAAAAAACATCAAGGAGATCTTCAATTAGAAAGGGAAAAAAAACCAAATCTTTAAAAAAATGTGACTCCCTAAAGAGAACACGCATGGTGAAGACATTTTTTTACTGAGAAGAAAAATAAGCCCAACAAGGCACCTGGGGCTGAGGATGCTTGTGCTTCCAGTGGAAGTGAAAGTTGGAGACTCTGCTTGTGAAGCACAAGGCCCAGAACCTCTTCAATATATATACGCATTGGCTCAGCAACATTGCGAGTAAAGGCTACGGAAAACTGTGGGGCCCACCAGCCTAACCCATCAACGAGAACCCCATTGTGTACAAGCTTTTAGCTTTTCGTCCCAGTTGTCCTTTAAACAACGGGATCAAATCAATTTCGTAACTGATTAGTGTTAGAAACCCTTTTAAATAGTCCCCAAGAAAAAGGAAGGTGTTGCCTTTCTGTTTTTCCTTTTATTTTTCCTTCCCTATTGCTTTGTCTTGCAGATAAGCAATGCTTGAATTGGAATGAAAGCCTAAGCCTCGCAGGTTGAGGAAGAATGCTTTGGTTCCTTAGTTTAACATTATCACATTACCCATTTGTACGAGACTTCGATTACAAGGTTTCAAAAGAGTTAGGTGAATATACCTTTTCGATCCATTTAAGATATTGTAAAACTTACTACAAATTCAATTTCATATGAATGTAACATAAGAACTCGATTCGCAGACATAACACAGAACCACGCTGATAGTAAATGCCCACCACTAACCGCATCTACCGGGCTTTGCAAAATTCTGATGTAACGGAACTCCCTAAGCATATGATATCATATCATCATTCTGTTTTGCAAAAGCCAAACTTGCAACCGACAAAATACGTCACGGTGCAAGGTGCAAGATGCAATTATGGATTGCTGAAATTAAATGTTATCTGTTATGTTAGCTAATATGATGTGTATATTATTACAAAGGGTTCCTTGCATGTTCGGTAAACCAAAGAGCCTTGTCCTTGTGCACCCATTGGGGTTCTTCTTTCCTGAAACTTGAGGCTATTAACAAAATTTATTCGCTAATGATGACTGAGTTGGATTAAACTCAACTATAATTCCATTTTCATTTAGCATTGTACAACACCGACGATGCTTTTTAGAGGGGAAGACAATGAAAGAGAGAAAAAAAGAAGAAGAAATATCAAGCCTCGCATCATTAAGGCGTGGAAACAATAACCAAAGTTGGTCCCTTCTAAATTCTAAGTAGGGAAGGCAAGAATCGATAATGAAGTAGGAAATTCAGTGTAAATGAGTAATGGCTGAGGCACCCTCACCCTGCAAACACATTAAACAATTGGTACATGTGTAAATTTGCAATTTAACAAAGATTTTCACACTAGTAATGGAACGAATTATAAAACAAAGTGGCTGTTACCTTATACACGAAACCACTGATTGGTTTTCCGCAGCGCAGTCAAAGACATCAACATCTGATGCGGGGTCTTAAATCCAGGATTTAATGTATAATCGCAATCATATCCTCATGCCATTCACCTAAGAGAAAACATATTGTTGTTTACTACGTCTTGCAAGTGCTGAAGAGTTCTAATCATTTATCTGAGATTATTACTTTGAGATTTTATTTCTCATATCCTTTAACGTAAATAAATTTTATATTTGTATTAAATGATTTTTTTTTTATTTAATAAATTCAGCATCTAGTTTGAAATTGATGTAATTAAACTCAGTCAATGTCATGTCAAAGGTAAGGTATAATAACTTATATCATTTCACTTTAAGGGGAAAGGTTATCCTTATCATCATTTTAAGTTTATCATTTTTATCACCTTTTCTTATATTATTAGATCAATTTAAAATTAACGATTGAAAAAAACAAAAAATTAACTGCTATTTATTTGAAATTAATCTAACAGCAATCAAAGAGATAATAAAGGTGATAAGCCTAAAATGATGGTAAGTATAATCGGTTCCCACTTTAATTACATTTTTAATATTATAAGTGATGTTCCACCATTTAATAGTGCATAATAAGATATTTCCCTTGTGTCAGAACACTTAAAAATCAAGGGTGATAAAATAAGTTGAGTTCCATAACCTCAATATAAAGTGCGGGTTGTGTTTGAAAAATCTTAAGCTGTACGAATAATACTCAGCCCGGCCCATATTAATAATTATTGGCCCAATCTATACTACCCTACAATGGCCCGAACTTCTTTTTTTCTAGTTTTATCTTGTTGTGGTAGAGATTATACATTTATCTTTATAATTGTTTTGAGTCCAAAATCATTTCCACATGCAAAGAAAGAATGGGCTACAATTACTTAAAAAATAGAATAGGCTACAGCCGTCAGAATTGGGCTGGACTTAGATGTAACAAAATGCAAACAAGTTATGTACCAAAAAAAAAATTTCCAAACAAGTTCGGCTACGTTAGATGTCCATAACAGATAGTAGTTTGGTTTGTACAAAACAAAAAAAAATAAAAAAAAATAGTAGTTTGGTTAGTAGTCGATTGTTCTAACTCAAATTACTGCCAATTTTGCTGAAATCATTATTTTAAGAGTAAATATCTTTTTTGATCCTCAGCAAATTTTACGATATCCACTTTAGTCCCTAACAAATTTTACGATATCCACTTTATTTTTTCAGACTTGGGGGGAACAACCCTAGCCCCATGTGGGTCTCTCTATATAATACACACACACGTGATAGTTGGAGGAAGGGATACGATGTGACACTTTTTTTCAAAAAAAAATAAAAATAAAATTGATGAAATCCTATTGATTTTTCTTAATGCATTATTACTAAATTTGATATTTAATAATGTAATATAATATTATTTAACAGATTTAACATTTTATTTTTGGTAAGCACACACTTAATATTTTTATTATGTCATAAGATATTATGTCTACCTTTTTTATACTTGTTTTACTTACTTCTCTCCAACACTATAAATTACAATCTCAATTGGGCTTCATCATTTTTTTCTCCTCTTGAATAATACCATAAAATTATTTATTATTATCAATATATTAAAATTAAATTGTTTACATCATATTTAGAGTATTATAAAAATATATGATTATTCCCTTGGTAGCTGTAAAAATAGTTTCTTATTAGTAAAAATTTAATGGGTAAAATTATTAAAGTTCTTAATTCTTATAAAATAATTACTATTTGTCATGAATTGTTTTCTCACCAAAAAATACAAATAATCTGGTAACATGTATAAGCATAGTCTACTTCATTTTCAACAAATTATTAAATTAAAAAACAAATGATTAATTTTGTTATCGTAATAAGTTTACACTATTATATATATATATATATGCGCGTGTTATATGTACAAGTAAAACAGCATCAAATAGCATTACTTTACAAGGAAATCCTTTCATAAAAAAATGTATTTTTTTCTTATGTAGATTATGAATTTAATAAGAAATAGACACAACCTCATATAAATTAAAGCTAATATTATCGTTTAAACTTTATAAAATTGCACCGAAAGTTGTACATTTGGCCCATTCGAACACCCAATATTTCACCGAAAGTAATTAGCACACTTATTAACATATTAATGGCATTCTTTCCTTTGACAAACATGCTTTTTCTATAGTATAGTAACTAGTTAACTACTCAACCATTCCATTGAGTAAAATTGGGCTGGCATGATTCGCCTAACACGTGCCTAAGAAAGGAGGCAATAACACTTCACAAGCCAGCCACGTGGATACATCAGGACTTTAGATATTTTAAAATTGCTTATAACACAATCGGACTCAACCTCAACCTCAACCTCGGTTAAACAAACCACAGAAATCGATCGTCTCGTATGTAATTTATATTATCACACATGTGAGAAGATTTTAATCATTAATAATTAAATATTTAACTATGATTATATAACTTTTTATTCTTGTATTTTTTTTTTTTTTATTATCATTAATTTAACATGCCAAGATTCACTTCCTCGTGCACATCCTCTGTTATGCCGCTGCGCATCACATTATATATAACCAGGCACATACTCTAGTATGCGCATCACATTATATATTTATTATTCAGACACCAAACTCAAACAGACCACTTCATTAAGGATGATCCCAAACCTTCAAATTCCTCATTGGGACACAACACAATCCGATGGAGGAGCACCGTCCCCATTCTCCATTAATGCAGTGGATGAAGATTTCGACATGCCCATCCACCTATTCTCCAGCGATCATTTCCGAATGTTCCAGTTCAAGGTCAGAGACTGTCCACGTGGCAGGTCACATGACTGGACGGAGTGTCCCTACGCTCATCCCGGCGAGAAGGCTCGCCGGAGAGACCCTCGCAAATACCATTACTCCGGCACCGCATGCCCCGAGTTTCGAAGAGGGAACTGCATGAAAGGTGACTCGTGCCAGTTCGCTCACGGCGTCTTCGAATGCTGGCTCCACCCTTCTCGTTACAGAACCCAACTCTGCAAAGACGGAACCAGTTGCCGCCGCCGAGTGTGCTTCTTTGCTCACACCATGGACCAACTTCGTGTCTTGACTCATGGCTCGCCTGAATCGTTTGTTACATCTCCTACTTCGGTCCTTAACTCTTCGCTCTGTGATACGCCACCAGTTTCGCCCGGAAACCTCCGTGAAATAGTGAGTTCAATGCGTAATGTTAAACTTGAGGTTGAGGATGTGTCTTCCGGTTCAACCCGGGGATCCAAGATGGGTCGTTGTTGTGTGTTTGGGTCTACCCGAGGTGGGTTTATGAGTATGCCATCAACTCTCAATCGATGTGAAGAAGAGCCTGCTATGGAGAGGGTGGAATCTGGAAGAGACCTTAGAGCGAAAATCTACGCCAAACTTAGTAGGGAGAACTCGATTGGGAGAAATAACGCTGCATTTTCATATCCTATCCCTGATGTTGGATGGGTCTCGGAACTGATTAGGTGAATCTACATAAGGAGTGAGTTGTTGATTTGTGAATGAATTCGATGGCCTTTTAACTCTCTTTGATTTGACTCTGTAAAGTTGTATAGTGCATGCAATGGAATAAAAGTCTCTCTCTGTACATAGTTGAGATTTGAGAAGGTTGAGACTGTTTAGTATGTTTCTGTTTTGTCTCTGTACCGAAGAATGGGTAAGCTTTTGTTTGGATCAATTGTTTGTCTCTTCGTCGTCTTGATTTTCTGGGAGACACAAAAAGAAACTGGAAGAATGATGTAAATGTTTTTATTTTTAATTTTTAATTTTTTGGTGAAGAACAATGATGTGTGATATAATGGGAAGCTAAAAATTCGATTAACTTGTAAGAGAGGATTGCCTGATTTTTCTGCATATTAATTTCTTATCCTCCTTCCTACCTCATTTTCTCTGATTTTGGATTTTGTAGATCATCGACAATTTAGGCGTTTGAGACCGTCTTTTTCTCATTCGATTTCATTGTAAGAAGGGGGAAAGCAGTTATCGTTTATCTATCATAAATTAAGACTATTCAGTGATTGCCATATTGAATCTGTGTTACGAATGCAAGCGAAGCTATTCACCCGCATAGATGTATGTAACGGCCTCTCAAACGTGTTCTTTTGTTAACTTAAGGTAAGTGATGTGAAAGAATGACGGTGACATTTGAACTCGCCCTCCATAGCCACTTTGACATGAAAAATAATGCTTGCCTGATGAACTCGGTGTCCAATAAGTACTCGAATAATTTTTTTGAGATAAGCACTATGAGTATAATGATGAAATGAGTTAGCCAAGATAATGAAAAACACAGGTAAACAAATAAATGAGGTGGGTATGGTAGAGCATGAATGGCGATGTTATTTTTGTGCTTATTAACATTATAATTATTTTATGAAAAAAGTGTTTGTCTTAAATGATATAAAGTTATGTTATTTTAAAAGAAAGACACACACAAAATAAAAAAATTATTTAAAATTTAAATTAAAAAAAATTAATTACTTTTTTTTCTTTGAGTTTTATTCTTTGTGTCTATCTCTCTTCTAAAATGACATAACTTATGTCATTTATAATGACAAAAATCAAACTCTTATTTTATATATATGTTGGAACATTAATGTTTGGGAATAAGAAGAATAATGTTGTAGGAAAATTTGATGGTTATGTTATAGAGATAGGAAATGTGGGGCCCACATGTGTTTTCAAAAATAAAAAATCAAAACAAGTGTGGGTCCCACAATCTTTATCTCTATAACATAACCTAACAACTTTCCTAAAACATTATACTCCTATTTCCCTTAATGTTTACTTGCACCTGGTATTTTTTTACTTTTATTTTTGGTATTTGGATTTTAATTCTGCCACATATATATCCTAGGTGGACGGTAACATGTTTTCCAATAATGTGTAAAAAGTGTTTTTCTTAGAATAATGCTTTGGCCATATTTTGTGAGTGCATTTCACCTTATATAATATATAGCTAACAAAATCATAATATATGTGTGTTAAAAATAAGTGAAATTAATTATAATTAGATAATAATTTGTTTTGAGTTTAAAAAATATATTTTTATGATATAATTTTTAAAGCTGCTTTTCAAAAAATTCTTTTTAAATGAAAAGGCTTACTAAAATAATTTTTTTAAAAAAAATTGTTTTTTAAAAAAAATATCTAATCTTTATAAACAAATTTTAAATATATATTTTTTGTTTAATAAACCATTTGTTTCTTGTGGTGGTGGGGTGGGGGAACAGAAACAGATGATCCTTAGTACCCATGTAAAGTAATATATGTATAAATTTGTTACCATCATTATTAATATTCTTATGATTAAGGTGTATATCATGAATTTATTGATAACCACACATCATATACATTAATTTCTCCCATTAGTCATTTCGAGTTAAGGGGATGTTTGATACGAGAGATATTTTTCTTTATAGGGAAAGAAAAGGTACAGAGAATATGACGTGATTTTTTTTTATCTTGGGCAAGTTATAAAAAGATGTTTAGTAGGCCAAAAATTTTGTCAGAAAAGTTGAGTCATTATATTAATGCTATGTTTGGTTGATTGTGAAATATATATAGGAATGTGAAATAAAATTACAAAAGTACTCATATTGTTTGAAAATTTGTTTGAAACCTACTTTTTATGATAGGGTTATCTGTGTCCAAAGATTTTTAAACGTTCTTAAGCAAGATTATCGGTTCTAGGATAAAAAAAAAATATCACTTTTTGAATTGTATTTTTTTTTGTCAATGTCCAGTTGAAAAAATTATCCATGACAAATATTTTATACCAGTATTTTTTAACTTATCTCATATCAAACATGATAAATATATTTTCTCCATTTCATTTTTTTAAATATTCTATCAAAATTTTCGTACCAAACACGAAGGTGGAAAATGAGGATACTCAAATAATTATGTTAGTGACGTTGAAGAACTAATATAATATTATGAAATATTATCTCTAACACCAATTGCTTGTATTAATAACGCACTAGGATTTATCTGAAACCAGGTTAGATAAGGGATGTGGATGGCAAAGCTGACTGGGCCAACCTTATCTTCAATTGACTGAAGAATCTTATAATTTAATCCATTTGGTGCCACTTGTAGTTGCCACTCGACTGCTTCTTTAATATGTCCAAAGAAGAAAATAAAATAACGTCGATATTATCCACTGATGTGAAAATCTTAGAGAGTTGGAAGAGACAGGATGTGGTCAAGGATGCACGATTTTTAAGGAGGGGTCCTTTAAGTTCAAACAAAGCAAAATATGATTGTTTTAATTTTGTAAGAAGTAAATAAAAAAAAAACTAGGAGAGGGACAAAAAAGATAGATGGTAGGCGATAAATTTGCATTGATTAGTAGCGATAAGTAAAAGTTTATAGTGCTTGTAATTTCTCATGTTGTATGAGAAATGCAAGTTTTCTTACAAAGTAAGAAAGGGGTGAAATCCACCTTAAAGAAAAAAATAAAAAATAAAAAAATGATTGACACAGAGTGAGAGTAATAGGAGAAAAGATTTATCATGCAACATCAGAAATCTTTTTCCCAAGTTTATAAATGAAAACGAGACAAAGTGGACGCTGGTTTCTCAATTCCATCGTAGTCCACAACAACATTTATGAATTTTTAGGAAAAGTAACTCGAGTACATGGATATTATCCATCACCATTCACAATCCTAACTGGAAAGGTTTCTTCACAAAGCAAGTGCGAATTCTAGGACTGTTTGGTGGTTAAAACTTAATCTCTGTTTGGTTATGTAGATATCCGTTATTGATTGCTTAAATTGGATAAGAATGTGATTTGGGTCCCAAAGCAAAATAATGTTAGGTATTGTTATATGAAAATAGTTACGTTTATAATTTTTTTTTTTTACATAATTCTTACAACTTCAATTATATATTTTGGATAATACAAATATTTGAAAATGTATTTTTCAGAATACATATTTGAGATTGTAAAAATTGTAAAAAAAAAAAGTTGAAAACGTAACATGCTCTTTATTATATAATCATTTTTTCATCATTACTATATTTTTAATGCAGTTGTACCTGTGATTTAAAGTTAAGAATATTAATTAAATTGAAATAATTCCGTATCAATTGATCTAAATACGTTTCATTGGTCTGGGAATAGTTATATTATGTATTGCTTCGCTTTATATACTTTTAGAAAGACTTGCGCATACCTAAATCAATCAATAAATGTAAAAAAAAAATCAATCAATAAATGATATATAATCAATTTTAATATAAAATAATTATACATTACAAAAAAAATTAATATCAAATTACGATATATCATTTGTTAGTTAATTTAGTTAACACAGCTTAAATAAATAATGTCTATTAATTCTCATATTTTTTAAGGTATGAAATCAAAATAAGAATTTTGAATACTCTTTACCGATCATTAAAGAGGCTACAATACTACTCTTGATAAAGATCAATGCATTGTCTTTTATTCCATAATATTGGGAGATGAGTTTATCATTGAAGGGTTACAGCCAAAAATATTTTCTCTGGTTTTCTTAGTGTGGCCTTTTTATGCTCCAAGTCATGTCCAAGCATCAACGCTATGCTTGTGCCGATGCATTTTTATTTTGTACGTACTGGGCTGCTTATATTGGTGGCATGGGTTGTAAAAATGTATGAAGCTGAGTCTGATTGGAGTCACTTGGCGTGGGAGACATAAGCAAAAGCAGAGAATAATTAATGGAAGGGGTTTGAGAAAATATTATTTGAGGTGAGTTTTATTGCAAAATGCTTCAAAGTAGATGGGTAAATGAGTCAGCGAAGTCAGGCTTTAGCCTGGACTATGGCTATATAAATTATTTCATACCTGATTTGATCTGTTAACTTGATACAAGTCAAATTATAAATTTGATTTGATTTATTTTTAAAAAATATAAAGTTTGATCTGATTTATCAAGTCTTCAAAAATAATATATTGCACTACTTAAATTATAGGTTGTAATTATTTTGTACAATAATTAAACATAACCCAAAATATTGAGAATTTAACTATGTTATTTCAATCGAACTATATTGATTTTAATTATAAAATTAAATTTCAATTTAATTTAAAATAAATTAAAAATTTATACGCACAAGCACATATGCATAGACACACATATGCTGGTGAATCTCTCTGTGTGCGCGTATAAAAAATGAGCATAAAAGTATTTATTGTTTTTTTCTATACATACAAAATAATTATTTTAACGCTAAATAACCATAATATTTAAACATAAAAAAGTAACTATAAAACAAGTGAAAGCCAATCAAATTAGACTAATAAAAAGAATTTTCCAACAAAAAAATAATTAAAAAAATAAAGAGAAACAAATAAAAAAATCACACACATAAACACATGGTCAACAAACAAAAACAAGATACATAGAATACAGCACCTATGAGTCAAATAATATATTATTTTTTAATGGAAACTTTGAAATGAGACAATTTTGTCTATAAGACAAAAAGAGCAAAAAATACAAAAAATAAGGACTTACTATCAGTTGCAAAAGTCTTTAAAGTCGATAGAGAGCGATTGATGATTTGGAAAGATGAAAAGTTGAGAACGGGACAAAAGAGTAGCGAAATTTGACGAATGAGAGAAGAGTAATAGCACGAAGAACTTTGCGGTTAAAAAAATGTGTTTGCCAAGTAATAAAAAAGAAAAGATTGTGAAAAATTAGAAAAGTCATAAG